TATTAAACAGAGTTGCTTACCGATTTTTGATATGCTAACCATAACTGTAAGGTAGCTTTGGGGAGGAGATAGTGTCTCTTCCAGGCTATTCCATCTTACAAAATTTTAATCATAGAATTTAATTTGGCACAGGTTTATGAAACGTGTTAATGCCTCTTCCATGTTTCTTTCTAGGGTGCTGCTACTGAAGTAAAGATTACAGGAGGTCTGATGACAACGAAAGCCAACTTTCCTGTGACGGCAGGATCTATAGTTGTCCCTTATGGGCACGTGATCGGAAATGAAAAGTGGAGAGGGTCAGAGATAGCACAAAAGCTACAAGGTAAGCACAAACAAATTGGAAGAGGAAAAACAATTCAGGCAAAGTATTCCCCTCTGTTACCCAGCATTAGCTCAGTTGGTTAGAACATGGTGCTAATAACGCCAAGTTCACAGGTTCAACCCCTGCTTACTGCAGGGGGGTTGGGCTTGATGATCTCTCAAGGTCCCTTCCAACCCAAAGCATTCAATGATTCTATGATTGTTGAGACTGGCTGGAATATGCTTTACTCTGTGCCTGACTGGTCCCATATTTGTGGTACAGCCTACGTTAGCAGGCTGAAAATTCCTATTTGTCTATCATGTATCTGCATGATCAGTTCTGTCGTATTTGCATAGTTGCTGAGCACTGTAGAGAAGAAGCAGAAGTATCTGCTGCTTGGGAACCACAGCAGTGGGGCTATTGTGAATATGCACCTCCACTGAAGTCCCTTGACTTTACATGGATACTGGGACTGTGCTATCATCAGTTGGCACAACAATAAACTGAGATGATCCTTTCAGAATAGCATGTGATGTTTTTGTTCAAGTCCAGATTTTACTGAGAAGCTATAGCACTTCCAAATCAGTAGTTTGAAAGTGCTGTTACTTGGCATTACATCATACAGTACTTCGGGTTGCTTGTACCAGTTTTGCTTAAAGAGACGAAAAGCTTTTAATGAAGTTTGTTGTCAAGTCACTAGGATTATGGACACATTAGGAAAGGTGTGCTGTGAAGCAATTTTTTTTTTTTTTAAAACTACTGTATTTTTAATTTAAACAATCTCACCTTAAGGGAAAATTAGACTCATCTTTGAAGATGGCTTGGGACTTGTGGATTTTCATCTTTCAAACCGAACTTGCATTTTATATATTTCTGAAGCAGATTTGGTTGCAGGGGATGAATTCAAACGAAGATTGGTTCGGTTTAGAAATGTAAGTACTACATAAAGAGAAAAGTTTTAAATTGGTATTGGTTTATTCCATGCTTTGGAAAAATTCTTCTTGTGTTATTTTTAAATTCTAATGGAGCTAAACTTTTGTGATAATTTCCACCTGAAAACTGAAAAATTATGCAGCTGTGTAATAACGCTGTATTAAACCTCAGTACTGTTGCTGCAACTTCTGTTCTTCCTCTGATTTGCTTTCAGGCAGCTCGTACTTGACAGAAGTTTGCTCTCTGTTGCATTGCATCAGCTTGTCATTAACAAGGTCGTCTCTTTTCCTTTCAATACAGGCCAGCAGTCTGGGGGGAATTGTAATTGTGGAGAGAACCCAAATAAGTGGTCAGTACTTCTTAGCAGTACAAAAGCTTGTTGTGCTAGAACTTGGAATGGTGTTGCTTCCTGTAGCAAATCAAGGAGAAGCTTCTCAACTTATTACTCAGCTAGTAAGTTTCTATGTTAGTGAACAAACATTTATTAAAATATGAGACATGAGAAGAACTACCTGTTTTCCCACAATCATCACTCATTTCAGAAAGAATACCTGGGATCGTAAGGGAACACAACATATTTTGTTGTTTGAATGCAAGGAATAAATATCCTGCAACAGTAATGTGGTAGTACAGTTCAGCAGAAAGATGGCTTATTTTGGGAAGAAAGAAAAAAAGTTGAAGAATATGGTATTGGATTTTTTTTTTTAATGTGATCTTGCACTGAGATGCCACTGGGCAGCATTAGGCAATCCTCACTTAGTTTGCTGTCAAAACCAACTTGAGATTTTGCTTTCTCAGGCTGGGGGAGTTGTGTTCTTACATAGTTTCTCTTTTCCTTTATCCTTTCTCTGATTTCATCAGAAGGATGCCAAAATCATTGTTTTAATTCATGGTTGGTATTAAGAAACTGTTGGTTTCCTAGTGAGACTTTGTGGATCTGTATCGAAGCCCTTAATAAGGGCACACACTTAAGGGGGGAGCTTGTTTTAAAATCTTCCTAGTGATTGCATTGAAATCTTTTGGGATGAACAAAACTATTTCAAAAACCAAAAGCAGAGCTCCAGCAGAGGGCACTCAGTGTCACTTGTGGTTTTCTTTTGCTTCAGGTGCGTGAACAAAGTAAGGATCACAACAGTAATCCCTTTCTTCGGAAACGGTGTTCACAGCTGGCAGAGCCATCAGTGTTTCGAACCGTGCAACAGATTCCTGGAGTTGGGAAAACAAAAGCTCTGCTTTTACTGCAACAGTTTGGAAGCATCCACCAGCTTTGTAATGCATCTGTCAAAGAGCTTGAACTAGTAGTTGGACAAACGGTAGCACAACAAATTTACAATTTTTTATGTTCCTGACATGCATGTGTAGTGCTGTTTTGGAAAACAAAGACTTTTTGTTTGGTTGTTGCTTGGGAATTATAACATTTTGTTTTTAATAATGACATATTACAGTAATTTCTATAACCCTGGTAACAACTGGAGGATGTTGACTAATTGTCTAGATACTACTCTGCTGCTGCTTCTTTACAGCTGTTCTGCTCATGTAGATTGAGCTGTGAAAATTACCCTGGAAAGAGGGCTGTAAAGTGTTTTGCATCGATCTTGTACAAAAAACTGAGAGAAAGCTGTCACTTTTAGCATCCACAGAAAAAACAGAAAAGCAATTTGCTTGCTTGCTTTTGTCTTTACACTAACTTACTTCTCTGGTTCCTTTTTCAGTTCACAGGGTGTTACCAAGTTTACTCCTTTGTGTCTATATCCAAAATCTTGGTTAATTCATGTTGTGCTTTTCAATACAGGTTGGGATAATTATTATCAATTACAATATATTAATAGTAAGTATGTATTTGTATGGCACTTGAAAAGCCCAAACTTTGACTAGAATTGGCAGGGGGGGAGTGATAAATAAAAAAGACCCCCACTCCAACTTTTCCTCAAGGACTAGTGAGTGGGATAATGGGAATGGCAAGGCAGTTAATCATGCTGCTAAGGGGGAAGATATTTGCAGAAAGACTACCATAGCAGGCTAAGAGAAATGAAGAGCTGCAAGGGTGATTCATGTAACTTTGCTAAAGATTTCATTAGCTGGGTAGTAATTTCAGCCATACATGCAAAGTAAATTTTTTCTGTATGGAATATTGTATGGCAGGGTCTTGCATGTCTGTATATGACTGCTGCTGCTTGTGTGTGTAAAAGAAGTGCTACTATAAATACACATGAAGAATAACTACTAAGGGTAGGCAAGTCACAAGTAATTTACAACTTTTTTTTTATGTGACCTTTATAGGAAAGCTCTAGAAATATGTTAATACATGTTGTAAGGAAGCAGGTTTTAGACTATAATTTATAAGTTCCTGTATTATACAATAAAAACTTTTAAGACAGACAGTTTCTCAGAACTTTGTAAGCAACATTACAGAAACATGCAAGAGGTATGCCAGCAGTATATAGAGAAAACCTGTAAATTATGCTGCATCATCCAAGCTGTAGCAGAATCAAAAAGCTACTACTAAATGGCAGCATCTGATTTTTATTCTTAAATAAGTCATCAACATATTTACACCTATTACATAAGAAACTAAAAATAAATGACTTTAACTTTACACCCAGATGCAAACTTTCCCCTTATTTTAAGTTTTGAGTATCAAACAGCATATATCTACTCTGTAGATGGCAATGTTAACTAACACTACAGTGTTAGCAATTTTCAATTAATTTCAAATTCAGAAAATAGAAGAATCGCAAAGAAATGCTCACATAGTTATTTTTTTGTCTCCCTCCTTAATAGATATAGCCAATACTTGCTCATGAATTGTTCCAAGGGGAGGATTTTATATTGTTTGGTTTTTTTACTTGGTGTGATAATAAATAAATATTCTGCCACTTAGACTCACATGCACTTCTTTTCTCATATTATAAAGCATCACCACAATTTATGTACTCTTGATCAGTACACTGGAATATGTCAGGTTTGAGATTTGTTCCACAGCTATCATTTTTTTCCAGACTAATGAGATACAAGTCTTACAGTAAGTAGGTTAAATAATTTCAAGTTTGGAATGAAGCCTCTTTTTAACAATTGAATCAGCAGGCATTGAAAATGTAACCTAGATCAGAAAAGAGCACAGTAAAAGCCTTTTGTAGTTCAAAAGATCTTTTGACTTCTAAGCCTTCTAATTCTCTTCCAGAATTAAATTAACTATTCAGTAGAATACACCTAGTACTCTCAGAAAGAGAATGTCTATGCATAAAAACCACAACTACATGACACTGCCCCTTGGCACAAGGCTAGTTTCTCTGAATAAAACGTTATTCTCTCTTGCCTGTGGTTTGTTAACACCACTTTAAAGAATAATCTTAAGTGACTTATTATTGCCTCTAAACTTTTACAGCAAAATCATCCATTAATATGTCCCCTATTGTTTTGCATGCAGCATCAAGTTTGTAATAAATAACTCCCACCTATCATAGTTATAAAAAATTAGTCATGATACTGTATTTTGAAATTCCAAAGGAATCCAGTCTTCATGTGAGCAATTTTATTATCTACAACTTATTATTGCATACCTCCCAAACCACTTCATTCTAACCTTCCAATATGTAAGTTTTAGTTTTTGCCAGCCTCTGACCTTCATAGTGGCTCAATACACAGTAAATGAAGTCAATGGCACTTGTCTGCATTTATACATATGTATATATAAAGATAAAACTGATCAATATTTTTATATACATTTGAAAGAAAAATGTCATGTTAACAGATCCTTCTGAAAGACTTAGTACAATGAACTTTCTGTATTCAGAAGTGTGAAGGGAGAAAGCTTCTTCTTAATCTGAGAACTTCCAGCCACAGCTGAAGGAAGGCAGAGGGTGCTTGCAGCTTTCTGTCTATTTTTTGTTCCCCAACTTAGGAAAGGCAGTTTCAGTGGGGCTTTCTTGGTCTGATCAATCTTACCCTCTTCCATGGCTAAACAGATTAAGGAGTATGTCTTCTGCATTCCCACAGAGTAAGTTGCGCACTTACTATGCTGTAGAAAAAAGAGAAGCATTATAAGAATCAGTCACTCAAAATGGGGTCAAAATTTTGAAGATAACAAAAGACGACTGTGCAAATAGTTTTCCAAGGCAGACTACAGCAAGCTTTCTGTGCTAATGACACACTAACTGAACACAAGGCCCTTCAGAGTGCTGCAATTCTGGTATTTTGCCCATGTAGTCTCAAGGGTATACTATGCAAAGCGTAAAAGGACTTGTGAATCTTTTCCATGGGTTGCATTATAGTTAGCATTACTGGCTGCTAGCATAACTATACGATACATACACTAGCCTCTCTACAAAGCTGAGGTACGTAGTTCCTGCACAAATCTCTGAAGGGGGGTCTTTTTGCTGTCTTTGGACAGGTTCCATGTTGATTGCAACTACGATAACAAGAGCTACTGTAGGGCATTCTTTTGGGATACCCGAAAGGCACAGCCTTCTCTGTCTTCTCAGCTGTGCCCTGAAGCAATCTGATTATATTCTAGCCTTTTGTGTCCAGTAGCAGTTTGGAATGGCAGGTGTGCAATTCCTTATTTTCAATAAGGAAAGTCAACTTCTTAAACAAAACAAGAAAACCTAACAGCAGTAAAAGCACCTTGATCATTTCTAAGGCGACAATACTTCAGTGCCTAAGCTTGCGAGGGAATGTTAGAAGCATGAAGCAGTGGATTTAGCTGAACTACAGGTTCTCTCACACTACAAATAAATTTAAGTTATTTAGAGCTTAACATTTTTTAATCTTGTGATGATTTTTCTTTAGTCTAAAGCTTCTACAGCAGTTTACTGACTAGACAGTTAAAGTCCACCAAAATAAAAAATATATACATTAATCTGTGATCTAATACAAAAGTCACAGATCATTTTTGTTAACAATGCATAGAAAATAAGCATGTAGTCTTGGATGTTGTATTCCATTCCATTATTGTTTCATTGTGGCTTTTCCAATGCTGAACAGGGTAGTATTTTCATCCTCTGGGACTAGTTAGGGGAAAATAAAATATGCCCTGGAATTTATAAAGCAATTAATCTACGTAGCTCCACTACAAAAAAAACTCCACCACCCAACCACTCCTATGCACACAGACTGTACTTTAGCTTGCTAAGTCATGATGATTTACACAGACTGTTTAAAACTGAACACATGCCTGAATACTTTATATATTCACTGGTGGAGTGGGATATCTGACTACATGAAAGTAAACATTAATCAGGGACTGAAGCCAGGAAACTGAAAAAACTCTCAAATATCCAATCTGCAAAACATATTTGCCTCATTACATACCACAGACGCTGCTGTATCCTGGCAACTGATAACCTCAATCTCAATGGGCTGCTCTCCCACGCTTTTGAATTTTTCCAGCACCTCATTCACTCCAAGCCACTTGCAATCCACGCCACCAACTGAAACAATGTAGTCGCCTTCTTTTACGCCCATCGACTGTCAAAAAATTTTGCACAGGTTATTATCTGAAATTATAAAGATGCATAAAATGGTTTTGTCATCCTACAGTACCTGCCCTAAAGGCATTTCCCTCTTAGATGCTACAAAACCACTGCCTAGCCAGACATGTGGAACAGAAGTGTACACATAACATAGAAACACGCAACGTTTTCAAGTACATGGATTACCTATTTGAGTTACCATTGATAAATGTGATTCTGGCATACTCAAGTGTTTTTTTTACGCCCTTTTTATGTCCTTTTCACTTTTTTCTCCTTAAGTAAATGAAACCTGCGTTTTGCTACCCTATCATCCCCAATGAGATGTTTTCTCCAGTTTTTACTTCTGTTTCTTCAGTATTTTTATTTGTACTTCTGTGGTCACTTCTGCCTTTCCTGCAGCTAAACTATGCTCATCACTGTGTGCTGCTTTATCCCTTTGTTTTTTTTACCTCCAAAAGAACAACATATTAGAAGCCAACAAGATGTCCTTTCCCCTCTTTTTCCTTGGGCACATGCTACCTTGCCTTCCCTTCCAGATCCTCATCCTTATTGTTGTTGCTACTTTCTAAAGCCTTTATCCCTTCTAACTTCCTGAATTAGATGGGGAATAACATTTGCTTTTATTAGTTAGGACTTTTTATCTATTAAGTGTGAACAGAGGAAGCAATCAGCTCTAGTTTAATGTGGTGTCAGGGATACGGATACTCTAACATCTAAGGTGTATATAGCACTGAAAATGTGTTCAGATTATAGGAATTGACTATACTGATGTATAGCAGAACTCAATTAATACTCCATATACCAGTATGAACAAGCTAGAGTTACATTTAAAAGATTGTAATCTGGAGTCTAGATAAATTGTTAATATTGCACCAGTGTACTTACTGCTGCAGAACAAACTGGATCAAGACAGTAAATCTGTACTGGTGAACCTCCTTTAAGACTGAATCCTAGCTCTCCTGCTTCATGGTGGATGCGAATAGTACGTGGAGCCGTCCATCTCTGCTTGGCTGAGAACACTGTCAGTGGGCCCTGGAGGTAACATAGCAGCAGGCACAGTATGGTTTACTGTCATTTGTAAGTAAGCATTTCTATTTTTCTAAGTTATAATGCTTTAAGCTCATCTTATACAGGTTTTACTCAGGTTAACTTCCAGCTACTTCCACTGAAACAGAACAATGAGATTTATCCCAGAAGTTCAAGGAGTGCCCTGAAGTGCTCAGTCCTACTTCATGACTGTTCAGGGGAAACCTCAAACAGAGCGGGATGAGAGCAGCTGCCAAGTTGTTAAGGTGTGCAGAATCTTTTGGCTGCAGCAGGCTCTAAGGTCCTATATTACTCCATTTTGGAGGAGATAAACTCGTTCATGAAACATTGCATATTCTGATCCTAACGGCAACTCACAATTCCCTTTGCCCACCGATACACACAGAGCCACCTGAAAGACTGGCTTCGTAGCATGCAACATTACATGTTCTGCATGCTCATCTCCAAGTACTACATGTTTCTCCCTGCCTCTAAGTTGTATGCAATTATCCAGTGAAACTTCATGGGACTTTTATAAAACCACGGTTACTATAGGATCATTTTTTCAGGCTATAATACTTATGTCCCTTCCCTCACATTAGAGTGAATTTTACTTGCTAGCAAAATGACAGACCTTGGTCAGGATTAGCATGTTACATACCAGCCTGTGAAAGAAGTCTTTAACTTTCACCTTGGAAAACTGAGGAGCAATTGTTTCTATTTTGTGCTCCGTTTTAGCTAAAACAAAAAGAAAAACACATTAATTTTCTCTCACGTGTTAATTAAAACATATACAAACTTATTTTTCTTGCGTTCCAAGCTAGATAGAAGTTTCTCCTAAATTCTTACCAGTCTGTAGAAAAACTCATTTTTGTGGAAATGTGTAAGAGATATCTGAATTGCCTTAAAAATATCTTCAGAGCTCATAGGATCAATACAGAAAACTTAAAACAATCCATCCAAAAAAACTATGCTATTCTCCTCTTAAATACTTTTTTCAAAGAAAAATAAATTAAAAACCAGTGCTCATTCTTTCCCACTGCTTCCAAAGAGGAAAGAGCTGGAATGAGGTAGGAAGAACCAATAGCAGTCAAATTGAGTTAACAACTTCGACCAGTATAAGAGTTATGCTACAAGAAACAATTATTAGTTTTCCCCCAAATTATTTTAGCTTTTAAAGCTTCCCCATTTTTTCTAGCTCACAAGACAGTCACCAAAAAAAAGCTGAATTCTAAATAATAACCATTGTTATCTACCCCAGAAAATGATGTGGCCAGACAGAAACACTAAAGCAGCTGTATATACAGTATATAACCTGTACATTATTTATATTATGTATACTATTATGTATTTATACATACATACATATATATATATATAT